CAAAAATTTAGTGAATCACATAACACGCAGTGGTTTTAAGAGTTTAAAAAGTTTGTGACAAACAAGACGATTAAAAAGTGTTGCCTGCAGTTTGCTGCCGGGGAGGAAATGACAGTGGTGTTTTTCTGAAGCCTCACTTTGGTTTTACCGTGCCCTTTCAAAAGAAATGAGATATGAGGCAGCGAGGACGAGAAAGGAAAGGGAGGGAGTGAGGCAGGGAGGGCGAGGAGAGATGCCTGGACTCGATATCACAGGACATAAATCACTATCATAAAGGCAGAGAGAGAAAAGCAGGAAAGAGCTGAAAGAGAGGAGATAACTGTTCACCAGATATTAAGAGGGCTGGAATGAAGCAGCCATTAATTACTAGAATAAACGTCTCCATCATCTTGCTCCCCCCTTTGTCGTCATAACCGTAATTCTTCTCGTCATTATCCAGGCAGGTGTGACGCAGGGCGAGGCCTGGCAGCGAAGGAATGTTAAAAACATCAGATAAAATGCTGTGTGGTGTGATGGAGGGGGGAAGAGTTATGAAGGCACGATGCTCCGTCCTGTCAACAGAAGAGGAGCTAAGCTACATTTAATCCTTGGAGGTGGCGGGTCAGATCATATGGAGAGAGGGCGAGGAGGACGAGGAGGAGGAGGAGGGGGTGACGGTCGTCGACCTCATCAGACACGTCCGCACACGCCTGGGGAAGATGAGTTTGGGGTATGGGGGCTCGGTGGAGAGAAACACGGCTGGAGCCAAAGAAATTAGAGCTGGGCTATATTTAACATTTCCAACATGTGGGCTTCATTTGGGTGGATGTGTGCGCAGCATAACTCCTCCGACAGTCCCTCCTCAAGCTATCGACCTGCTGACTGCAGCCACAAGAGAGGGCTTCTTGAAGGAATTATCTCAAGATTTCACTAGATTACTCATTTGTTAAGATAAAAAATACCTGAGTTGGGAAGATTTAAAGCATTCTTTAGGCTGAATGAGAACATATTGCAGCTCCAGATGGGGACTGTAAATGTTCAGCGCCCAGACACTCACACTGTGATCCCACGTCACTTTCCATTTGTCACCGTCTGACCAGAATGTGATTGAGGCAAACAGGAAGAACGTATGGTGTCTCACTGAGAGGGGAGCCGGCCAGCCAAACACAAATACGAGAAAACTTCCCCAGCTTTAATTAACAGCGTCAGAAAAGGTTACACATGGAAATCTTAGGTTCTACTGGGAGGCTGAGATACCCGACTGTATTCATTCATGTTAAATACTAATATTATTTATTCTCTTGCTTCACTGCACTCACTGTGCCACAATAACTGATATATGCGATTGTTTCAGCACATATTTCTGCCCCCCCAGAAAGTGTCCATGCCAACCTCATCATCATCATCACAGATCATCAAAGTCTGTGGTTCCCAACCTGGGGGTCAGGGTCAGGGTTCGCCAAAGCTTCAAAGGGGGGGTCACAAGGCCTTTTTGATTTTAAGGTGCGCTAGAAAACGTAAAAAATATACACAGTAGGCCTATAGCTCAGCATTTGGTACACTTTTGTGAAGTAAACTGTAAGGTAAATTGTCTAAAAGTATTCAGGACAAGAAAACACAGAATTTGTCCAAAAAAAAAAAAAAAAAGCCTATTAAGTTTGTTAAAAATTATTATTTTTAAAAACATAATACAGACAGAATTGTCAAAATTTGCTCAAAATGTTTCCAAATCTCTGGTTTTACACAAACTTCCTGAGTTCAGTGTTTGGGTTCATTGTACAGTTTTGTATATAATATGAAATATCCATAAAATATGTCACTGAGTCAGTTTATTAATGATAGAAGAGGGTCCCTGAAGGAAACACTGATCAGTTGTCAGGATTCATCTTCTGGGGACCAGGACTATCAGTAAATACTTTAATCCCAATACATCCAGCAGTTATTGAGATAATTCAGTCTGGATGAGTGTCTACAAACATCTTGAGGAACAATCATTATGTTCATATAGCTGCACAGTCGAGGAGCTGTTCAACAATCTAATGAGTTCATTCAGCTTTAACGTTTATCATCCCAACAACAACCACATTAATACACCGATACATCACCTGCGTACTACCAACCTTTACAGCCACACTCAAGTGCTGTCATCTAAACCATCAGTGGAGCATTCAAACCTCAAGGTCTCAGCCTAACGCCCTCCCCCCAATCTCCTCCCAAACACACAAACAAACACACACCTCCACCCTCTCCACCCTCTGCAGCTGTCAAACATTCTGCATCTTGCTCAGTAGACGTCTGAACAGGAATGTACATTGCAGATGAACTCAATGTATAATAACAATAAAAGTGGAAATAATCTTTCCTTCATACATAACACTGATAATACTCGGACCTAAAAAACAAACTCTATTCACACTGAAAGCTTTCCTGTGTTACTTTATGTAATAAGCTCGTCTTAACACATCATGTGATATGTTTTTTAATTTCTGGGGGGAGGGTGCATATTGGTGAACGCCTGGTTCTGTTCACCAGGAGAACGAAACATGCAAGGCAGATCTCACTGTCTCCCATTTTTTCCAGCCTTCGATCCACAAAACATCACCAGCTGCGTTTGTTGGCACGCTAGAAGCAACACCAACAAAGCCGAGCTCCAGTATCCATTACAGATCATCATATATATCATATTGTGATTATCCTAAGAAAAATATAATGATACATTATTAGTGGGAATGATCATTTATTCATAACAATTTTCATTCTCACTGGAAAAAGTATTAAAATCACGATGAGTTATTTTCAGTTTTGATTCTTTTTTGTTTTTATTTCAATGTTTCATTGTTCATTTTAGTTTTTATTAATTATAATAGGGGTTATTTGTCAGGGACAAGACTGAAGAAGTTCAGAATAGATGTCACAATATAATAATTCACTCACAGTGCTGCACTAAAGACTCCTTATGTCTGTTGTGTTCAGAAAATTGACTAAAACTAAAGACATTTCCAGTATATTTTTAGGGACCGAGCCAGCGA